GGATTCCAAAATCAGGTAACCAAAAGTTTAAAAACTTGTTCTAAAAACAATTGTTTCAACATTTTGGAAAAGATATCGAGAATTAGGAAATGGATTTACAAACTCCCTCAAGAATATAATGACGGTGAAAAAACAAATACTAAACCATCGGACCCTAGTCACTTTTTCTTTCTTTCTTTCTTTCTTTTTGTTTTTTGGATCAAATTACAAGAACCCATAATGATGAGAGTAATATAATAAACAAACTGGTCACAAGTGGTGGAAATCAAAACTTATTATTACTATAAATAAACCTTCAAATAGTAAGAGAAGAAAGTATAGACGATTTTTTTAGATATTTCACTATTGCAGTTATTTAGAGATCCAGAATTCTATAATTACAATCACGATTATAGAGTGCAATTACTAATAGAAAATAGTTTGATATAAAATCGAATGAATGAAATTAACTGTGAGACTCAATTTACAGCAAATGATAAAATTTATCGTGTTTTTTCACGTCGTTGTTTTAATATTTACGAGCTTCATTTTACATTTTTTGACATACACTTCTATAGAAGGCTTACTTTTTGCAGTAGGACACAGTCAAACAATTAGTCTGCAACCTCTTTTAGACAGACAAATGTGATCAAGATCAAAACCTGGAGGGCAAATTGAATCGATTGGAATTTGAATTTAGTTTAAATGACCAAATAGAAAAAAGAGTTATCTTTTGCCATTTTTTGGGATGTAATTTGTGCAATTTGAGGAAGATGAGAAGGTGTAGGACAGGGGAAGTTGACTTGCTGTCTTTTTCAAAAGTTAGTTACATTTGGTGGCGGGAAGTGGCAACGGATTAGGCGGCTATTTAGTAGCAGATGTGAACAGGTGGAGCCAATGCCTCGAGTTTACAATGAGGTCCCTCAAGAAGAATCTATTTCAATTTAATTGCACCAAACCTCTCAAGCTCCAAGAGTACTATGGCTTTCGTCCCATAAGTTTTTTCTGCTTGTCTTTGACATAAATGTTCTTTTAGACATTATATGTGCCGGTGCTTTTGGCTAGAGGTGGCAATTTGGATTGAGATCCATTTATCCATCCATATAATCCATAATTAAATGAATTTGGATTATCCATTTATGATATTGGTTTTAAATGGTTGATCAAAGTAAAATCATTAAATTAAATGGATTTATATGGATTATCCACAAAAATCACATATATCCATTTATTTTAAAACCAAATAAAAGTAGCCAATCATGATCAAAACTTGCAAGCAAGAAATATATGACAGTGTAGTCCTCCATGCTCCCCAATCATGCGGCGGACCGCATCAACGAACTCAATTTGGGAACATCCCCCCCCCCGCCCCCCCTTTTTGGTCCCCCACCATAACCTTCCCTCCTATTCCTAGCTGGGTTCCCTCATTGTTTCTTTAATTTAAACCCAGAAAATTTTCCAATCACTGGTTGTATTTGAAAGAATATTATAAATTTTTTGTGACATGACGTGTATGAGATAAAAAAAATTAAAAATTATATTTATGATATAGGTTAAATAACATTTGAAAATTTTATTTATAAATTACGGTAACCAAATTAGACCAATTGTTCTTAAATTAGACCAAAATACTACCTAAATTCTTAAATGAAAAATCTAAGTATTTTGCCATCTTTCTCATCCAACTACACCTAAAATTTACGAGTACATAAAAAAGTATACATAAAAAAGTATCTTCATATTACAAGAAATGGTAATACAAAAAAAAGTAACCAAAATATTTAAATGGATTATAAATGGATAATTGGATTTTATTTAATCCATTTAGATCCATCCATTTAAATCCATTTATTAAATGGATTTAAATGGATTGGATAAATTTCATCCACCATCCATTAAGTCAAAACCAATTATGAACCATTTATCCATATTGACACCTCTACTTTTGGCACACCCTAGGCGTGTGCTTATTTTAAGAAAATATATTATTATTCTTTTTCATCTTAAGTTATACATTATGGTAGATATATATATATATATATATATTTATCTTTAAAAAAAACTAGTTACTACTTTAGAGGAAGTTACTGTATTTAAAAAATCATGGAGAAAAAAGTGTGGATGTGAGGGAATTAATGTGAGGGAGTTGTAATTCGATCTCAAAGAGATAACCCTTTGCTGATTATGGGGAGTTTTTTTTTTTCCTAGAATATATTAGGACCAATTTGCTCGTATAATCAAGGATATATTAGAAATTTTAAAAAGTGACACAGCATGTTTACCTTCAAATGTTGGAGTCATAACCGCGATTTGATTTGAGGTTCAAATTGCATTATTATATGAAGGTTTTTCTATAAGATAATAAAGAACGGATTCTTTCTATGTTGATGTAGCTTTGACAATTGAGGCCCTGTTTGGCACTTGAGTTTTTTGCCAAGTTTATCTGCTACAGTAATCTCAAAAACTTCTCAAAAATTTTAAATTATATACTTGAAACTATTAAAAAATTTACACAATTCAAAATTTTTTTTAAAAGCTTTTATAGTAAACTACAGTAAAGTTTTAGATAAATACCCAAAAAACTCACTTGCAAAATGGGCTCTGAATCACGTAAAATTTTGTATGTCACTTAAATTTTGTGTGTGTAATTTTAAGTTGGTTTCAGAGGCTTAAATGCAAAAAGCAATTGATGGTAAGTTAATGAAACTACTAGGTCTGACACTTGACTTTATTATCTCATACTATTAAATATGCTAATTAATGTGGCAAGATATATTGGTAGGTTAAATGCAATAAAATATTAACACAAGCATTAGGAGTATTGATATTCAAATGGTTTGGTAAACACTTTTGCTTCATTCCCGCGTAGAAATACATGCAATGCAGTGTCATCAACTTGGTACAATAGAATAGTCTCTATGATTTTCAACCATACCAATATTTGTCTACCACGATTTCCAGTAACAACAACTATTACAATTGTTGATGAATCAGAAGTCAAATACTAGTTAATGTAAATGATATCCGCGTTGTTTGGATTGTAATTTTCTGCCAAACAAAAAAGAAAAATTTACGTCTTGGGCGAACATACATTTCCAATCACCTTTTTATCTCGCATACATCAAATCGTTACAGTATACTTTTTTTTTATATATAAAAACTCCTAAAAATAGCAATTCAAACGGGCATGATTGAGTTTTTCCACTAATTGCGACGTTAATTTGCTTAAGAGTTCTTTTGTATGAAAACAGATATGACATTCCACAAAAGTCCTGGCTACACCACACCAGTTGAACAGAGAAAATATGGAATCCCTTCAACGCGTAGAAGTAATCATGGTCGAGCAGACTGGCTTAAGCCAACCCCAAGGATGCTGGCAAAGGAGTCTATGTTCTTTTGAACCCTTTAATAACAGCTAACAAGCATGTTACACATGCAAATCCATAGAATTGGTAGTTCTAATTCCAATTTCCAACTCACAAAAATCCTCTTTCATGAGGTGAAAGACCAGGAAAAGTCAGAAGAGTTGATTGGTCTTGGGATTCCTTTTCCCTGCATCCCTTTCAAGCTACAGCCTATGTAACATAAAATGGGGTCAGCTCAAATTCTCATATCTCAGATCAACTAAAAAAAAAAATTATTTTTTGGGTTAAAACACATATAGATTTTCTTTCATATCATTTTTTATCATATTATTTTTGTTTATCACTTTTTTCTTTCAGTAAAAGAAGAGGATCAACAATAATTCATCACCCAACCCGTTAAATGACTCGAACCCATGACCTGTGCTGTCGATTACAAGTGAAGCGTTTTACTTTACCGTATTATTCTTCTTTTTCACTTGAAAGGTGCATGATGCATCACGAGTTCATGGCAAAAATGAATTTTCTATTGGGTAAGCTTAAGAGGTCCATCTGATTTTTTTCGCCATTTGCCAATTGGGTGGGTACGACTTGGCTGGATTTTGTTTCCTGGATGGATCAACCTCCAAGGACTTTTTTACACAAAAAAATTAATAATAACAATAAATTAGAATTCTGAAAATGCTACTTTGGCTTCAAATATTGTTTGCCTCCTTCCTGACCCTATTAAGATACAAAAGAAAAAAAAACGTTTAAAAGGAAAATGTAAATGAGAATAATAAGGGATGCTAAAGCAGTGTCAAAATCGGATGAGTACATGATAGGATATGAAGCTACATCCACTTCTTTTGCCCCCATAACCTCCCATTTAACACTCTATAGGCGAAAATGACAATTACACATCAACCATCCTTAATTTGCCAAATATGAAAAAAAATCTGTTCTTTCCAAGTATGAGAAACTATAAAAAAAGGATAACTATTAGTGTGAATTGCCATGAAAGCTCTACAATTTGTTGGTGTCATCATGACTACATAGAAGGGAAAAAGTATATACCCATAGAAAAGGGAAAATTTTAATGGGTTCAAGAAAAATGTGTAAATATGATGATCTCTTGAGGCTGAGTTTATAATTAGCAAGTAAAGTGGAAACTGAAAGTGGAAGAGAAATGGACCAGAGTGTCAATGCCAACCAACCATGGCCTTATTCTCAAAGATTAATATTCAAACCAGCCAGTGGTCCTTTTATGTTCTAGACAACAATAATGAGAGAGTTATTGACTTAGAACTATTAAAAATCAAAGCCAAGCTGCTGTGGAAACGCACTTCCCTACCATTTCCTTCCCCACAAATTCTCCGAAAACGTCGGTTTCTTTCTCACATCTTCGACAGACTAAACACACGCACACACTCCATCACACACACACGAGGAATAACGTTTTGATCAACACCTGAAACAAAATTAAACAGCGTTTGTTACTTTTGGCTCTACCTTGAAGACATATAAATATGTATCTGTTATATACAAGTTCTTGAGAGGTGATGGAGATGAATACATATTTCCATTTCAGTTATTCATTTCCTTAATTTTCATGTCGTTTCTTAGTTATTATGGATGTGATCTAATCATTTATTCCCCTTGCAAATACTTTTTGTATAGGAAGACCAGAAGTGCAGGTGCAGTTGAAGTATCTGTTAGTTTATAGTCTACATACATGTTGGTCGTTCATGGAAAGACGAAGCCCTCAAGCATCTACGTAAGTTTGTTGTTTTTCCTCCACATATGGTTGTGTAAACTTGTAAACCTTTGACGGGTAGTTTAAACTTCAAAGGCATTCATTGATTACTGCTTGCTAATTGATATCCTGTTTCTGAAGATACCTGGTTCATTAGTTTTCCGGGATGTTGTTGCCTTTTTTATAAAAAAAAATTAGATTGCATAAAAGCAGTAAAGATTTTAATATTTGAAGAGGGGTGTAAAAGATGTTTAATTTTTTCCTCATTTTATGATTTACAGCTTCTCTTTTGCTGTCGAGGGATGGCCGTATTGGATGATACATTCTCAAATTTGAATTTCTGCTGATGTTTATTCTAATAAAGAAAGGAAGAGGACAGCTTCTGTTGAATTTTAGTTCTGTCTTTGTTATGTGGGGTAATGGAGCTTTCTCTGTTTTCGGACACTTAGTAGTCAGTCCATTAGAAGGATTTTCTGACTTGAGAATTTTCATTGGTTATATGAACTTAAAGTTTGTCTTACTAGAAGCATGATCAATTGGCCTTGGTGTCTCCATAAGCTGCTTGTTGGCGGGTGGTGAGTGATTACGACCTGATCTGCAAGGATCATTGGTTACTAGGGAAAACCACATCAGCCTATTATAATGATCACAAAAAGATGTTGATTACTTGTTATATGAGAAAAGTGTGTGTGTGTGTGTGTGGACTTATATAAGTTCAATTATCAGAAGTATATTTTGGTGCTGAGTACAAAGTTTGGAGTATATAAAATTTCACCAGCTGCTCTATGCTTGTTTAATGTTGTAGCAAAGTTGCAGAAAGTTCTCATGTTTCAAGATCATGTTTTTTCTGTGTACGAAAAAATACCTTATTCTGCAGTATCTGATACTATAACATATATATTCCACTTTACCACAGTACTGGGCGTATTTTGCTTTGTTCAAGTGTTGTTTGAATTCTTTCCACAAAATATAAAATTTATAGGATGTGCCTGTCCTCGACAGACTACAAATTTACAATGATGAGCAATTTCAGTGATCAATCTATAACCAAGAGGAGCATGCCGCAGTTCAGTGCATGTGCCTTTGTTCAACGGTACCTTAAACAGATATGTGCTGATATAGTACAAGTTTTTTCGTGCCATTAGAAGAGCGTATAGCTCTACCACACAATGTATGGCTCCCAAATAGGTTGTGTTGCAATAGAGGGCCATAAGACAAAGCAATGAAATAGCAGTGCAAGGCAGAAAATTGCTGGCTATCCTTTTTTAGCCATAAGTGTTTTGCTAATGAATTTTGTCATTTCGTTTGTGTACTACACTTCTAGTATTGGGGTTAATGTTACAGTTTGAAGATCATTCCTCGCATTCAGATATGAGCTAAGTTTGAAATATATAGGTAGATTTAAGACCATAGTTTCTCTGAGTTCATATGAAATATGAGCTGTCTTCCTATAAAAAGTGTGCATCACTGGTGTGCAGGCTTTAGCACTAAAGGATACAAATTTTCCTTCCATAGTACTGCTGCTTAATGCCCAAATTTAAACGAACTGACTTTGAAATCTCACTGGCATGTCAAGACTTTGAGTTTCTAGGCTTCATTTAATTGCCTGTGCCTGTAATACATGAACTGGCAAGTGCAATTAATGAACTTTGACCTGCTGCTTTATCCTGCCTAAAATGCTCAGATTTTGCCTGACTGTCAATGGGAGAGATGCCCTCATACTGTGTAGGAAATGCAGAAAGATAACTTTGCCTCTCATGTTGAAATGCGGAGCTATTGGGACAGGCTGAGAAGATTTAGTGCTGAATGTCTCTTTATGTCTGATACATACATAACGTTTTCTTTTGCAGAAGACAAAGGATAATCTGAGGCATTTATATCTTATTTCCCTTAAATCTCATGGTATTTGATACAACAATACCCACTCATTTATCTGCAAATTTATACCCTGGAATTTTTAGATTGTAGATGGCACATGCATGATCTTATAAAATTGTCCTAATGCTACTGAAATATGTTATCTCTTAAGTTCATACCTGTTCTTCATGCTGAGAATTCTGTTCTAATGCATTTTACCTTCTATAGGGATTTTTGCTCGCTTCACTTTATGTACTCGCTTTTCTCGTACTCTAATCCTGTGTGTCTCTGTTTTTCTACTGGTTTACTTAAATTATAAGAGATAAGTCCTCCAAGATATATAAATCTTTGCTAGAGTCTTGGAACACTAAAAAGAAAGAAAAAGAAAACTTTGAAGAACTTCTTTAGACTTCATTATAACGCTTTCAATTTTGAAAACATCATTTAGGTTCTGATATCCTGCTTTACATAGGGATTGATGCTGAGAGAACCTAAACATAGGAGATCATACTTGTGCAGCTTCTTTCCTACAGCTTCTCTGTTGTTTCTGGCAGTCTTAGTCGGAAGTATATATACGGCGCTCCAATACAAAGAGGTTTCCGTTATGCATTCTGTATTCAATCTATTATTTGGTATCTGGTATATTAGCTTTCCAGGAATATTTTTAATTCATTTGGATGAAAGTCTTATGTTTGGAAGATGAACTTGAAATCTTGTATAAGCAGATAACTTAGATATCTTTTCTGCAGAAAATTTTGAATTGGAAGTTGGAGGAAAATCTTCTGCGTACATGTGAGGTTTGTTTTTCTTTGTTTGAAATGTGAGCAAATTTTAGCATTCAGGTGGTAATTTCTGCAATTTCAGGTTGTAATTTGTTTCATATGCTTTAGAACCACTGTAGGCCTCCTGGAAGTAAGCCATTGCCCAAAGGTATTGTTGCCAAGACTTCTAACCTGGAAAGAAGACCATTATGGGGTTTGCCAAAGGTATGGTACAATCATAGACGAATCCTAATCCAAACCCTTGACTTTTAGAAACTAGAGTTCCAATTTTTGCTTGGATAATATCATTGCCTACTACACAGCCTCTTTTTTAACAATGGATTATTATCTAATGGTTGATCAACGAACCCTGAAGTATGTTCGTTACCAGGAATTAATAGATTTAGCTATCAAATATGCAATGCAACTCTCCTTTTTCTTTTCTGTCCGTGATGTTTCATTCATTTGAAGCTAAAAGAAAAGGTGGACTGACCTGAATAGTGTCAATACAGACACTAATAACTGCCAGATGGGAGTAAACGAGGACAGTTGATCTCAAAAATGGTCATCAATGGGTTAAGGGGCCAGTATGAAATGGCTTATTTTGAAGAGTAGTACATTTTGGATTCAAAGTGAGCAGAAGAATTTTTTGGATAACAATGCTTAGTTCCACAAAATCTTTGGAAGCGGCTGACTAAATAAGCTGTAACCATTATGGATTCTGGTCCACTTCATGGTTTTTAGTGTTATATGCTAATTCATGAAGCTATCATTTTGAAGTGCTTGGTTTTTGCATGTACCAAAGTCTTCAGATATTGCCAGAATCTGCACTTCCCTCTTGTTAGGAGTGTTAAAGAATTATTATGTCTAATTACCAGATGAGAATATAGCTGTCAATGTAACCTTGTTGAACTTGTCATTGTATAAGTACTTGATTGCTATCCTAATTGGGTATCTAAGCATCCCATTCTACACCCTTGCCTTTGGCTTTGATGGAAGACATGTCTCTACAATTTTGGTGCCACTTAGTAAAAAACTGGACTAACTCCATGAAGCTATATGGCATTTCCTTTTTGGACGAGCTGTAGCGGTTCTTAATCCATTTCATTATCACTTTTCATTGTTACCAAAACTCATCCAGTGTTTTTTCCGTTTTATTTGCTTTACCTTTTAATCCTTTTCTTTTTTCTAATAGTGCACCTCGTCATTTAGTCTTAACATTGAGGACTTTCGTCCCTTCATTTCAATCCAAGAATGGGATGTGTTGTTCATGACTTTATTTTGCGAGTCGATAAGGATCATTCCAGTAACTGTAACTCATTAAGTTAGAAAAGCAAAGAGTTTCCAGCACTTCCTGGCTTGGATCCGATCAGAAAACTTGAGTTAAATCTGGAGTGCAGCATAAATTTTCTTTTCTTTCTTTGACAAGTATGCCAAGAGATCATGAACTTTATGTTTTTCCAAACAGAAATCGAACTCTTCAAGGAGCTTGTTCGCTATGGCTGTTGGGTTAAAACAAAAAGAAGCAGTAGATCAGATGGTCAGAAAGGTGAAAGCTTAAAGTTCTAGGCTTTATCTTATGGCCATTTATCCAACTTCTAACAATCATAAATGATTTAATTCCCTTTGCAGTTTCTGTCGAGTAATTTTGTTGTGATGCTTTTTCATTATGATGGTGTCGTGGATGGATGGAAGGATTTAGAGTGGTCTGAAAGTGTGATACATGTATCTGCTTTGCATCAAACAAAATGGTATGTTGTCAATAATAACCTTCAAATTTGGTACTTCAACTGCTTTCAATTTTAGAAGCTAGATGTACTTGAGCTTATATTTTCAACTCATGCTTCAAGTAGGTGCTGCGTAACTTGCAAAATCTTCTGGTAACTCCTTAACATTCCGGTGCATGGTTTTAACCAGGTGGTTCGCTAAACGATTTCTACATCCAGATATAATTGCAGAATATGATTACGTTTTCCTATGGGATGAAGACCTTGGAGTAGAAAACTTCAACCCTGAGCGGTACGTCAAAGCTCCTACTTTGACAACCTAGGAAAGCACCACGAAAATGGAGGGGAAGATTAGAACTAGGAAAACACATATCTATACTCATGAAACAGTTCAGTTCTATTCATGCTTCGTTTATTTGTTGAACTGTTCTGTCAATTTGGTTGTGACTTCATCATTTGTTGGGAAACAGTTTTTACTCAATCAGAAAATCATCACGATCATTGCTCATAGGGCTTAAAAGAACTCTGCTGTATACTCTCATGTTGGTGCCATATGCACAACAGTTTTACATTTTTTCCAGTCTGCAATGTACCAATTACTTCATCAAATGTAGTGTTAGTTATATAACAAGTTTTAATCTGTGCAGATATCTATCAATTGTGAAGGATGAAGGACTTGAGATATCACAGCCAGCACTTGATATTGGGCAATCAGAGGTGCATCATCAAATTACTGCACGTGGGAGAAAATCGAATGTGCACAGGTTTCTTCTGTTCCTGTGTTTAATGGTCTTCCTTTTTCAGTTTTTAACTTGTATTAGACACAGAGGCAATACTTCGATCTGTTGTACCCAATATACACAAAATAATTCTAGGTGAACTTCTCCTACACTGTAAGTTGTTCTTCGCTAACATGCATCTGCTGGATCCTATACACATACAATACATCTGATTTTCTCAAGCTTTAGGGATGAAATATGAATATTCCAAAATGTAACTTCAACTTTCTTTCTCTTTTCTCATTTTGCTCCTAAAATGGTGTTTGAGTAATCCATAAAATGATTTACAGTTGATTGGCTCCACTTTTTCAGGTTTCTCAACCTCAATGTATTTTTGTCGCATGTCTTGAACAGGAGACCACTATTAGTTGGCTTGGGAACTACTCTGTAAACTAGACTGCTATTGACGTTATTTCCCCTCAAAACTGAAATTTCAACCATGGATTTATCAGCTATGTCCTAGATTTCTTTACTTTGCTACACGTAATCTGACTTATTTCTTTAAATTATCCTGCTATGTGACAGGAGGACATACAAGCCTGGTGGGAAGGGAATTGGATGTGATGGAAATAGTACGGCTCCTCCTTGTACAGGGTAGATATTTACTTGAACTTGCATCATTGCACAGCCATGCATAAGATGTGCTTATGCAGTAGAAAAACATCGAGTGTTCGACTTCATTGAAATGATCTTCATGTTGTGCTACCAAAGTTCTCTGAAATTTGCCGTCTAATATATTGTGGTTCATTTTGGAATTGATTTGAAGAATTAGGGAATCTGTATGTGTTTTACAGGTGGATAGAAGTAATGGCTCCAGTTTTTTCAAGAGCAGCCTGGCGCTGTGTATGGTATTTGATCCAGGTTCGTCATTGCCATTTGGATTGGTCGTGTTAATTGTTTTAATTAGCACATTGTGATTGTTCTTAAAGGATAAGATTGCTTTTGCCAATGCAATAAGGCACAAGAGAAATTCATAGGCATGGTGCTCATATAGAATATATGAAACAATTTGTGATCACTTAAAATTTGCAACTTAGAGTGGATCTGTTTTTTACCTGATTACTCTGTTAAACATGGCTTGAAATCATGCGATCATTCGAATTGTTAGGAATTCTGGGTGTGGTATTGTAGCAGTAATTTAAGTACTGCTGATTCTCTTGTATGTTCATAACCTGCAATATCACAAAGAGCAAACGATAAAGGTGGGGAATAAGTAAAAGATGCAATAACTGATCCTTAGAAGCGTTAAAACAATACCAATATTTCGATTCTCTTCCTTTCACATCACAGCTTTAAGATTTTAATAGCATATGAACTGTGCTAATTTGCATAGAATCTCATTTTTAACAGTTTCTTTCTGATATTCCTCACAGAATGATTTGATCCATGCGTGGGGCTTAGATATGCATCTTGGCTACTGTGCACAGGCAAGCTATCGATATTTCTTTTGCATCTCTCTCTCTCTCTCTCTCTCTCTCATGCCCTTGTAACATTCCTTTCAAAAGGGAGATCGAACTCAAAATATTGGTGTGGTTGATGCTGAATACATTGTCCATTATGGCCTCCCAACGCTCGGAGAGCATGAGAAAAAGGTACCCTTTTATGTCATTCTTGTTGCTGAAGCATACTAATGCAGGAATTGATGCATATGTCAATCTTCTTTCATCTGCTACACTTTCTCCCCTCGCTAGCAGAAGGGAAAGAACAATGTGTAGGTATTTGATGGGAAAAGAAAAAAGGAACAAAAAATGAATGAGAGAACTTGGAAGGGAGTCCAAAGGAAGAGATGCGCTCAGATGGATTAAAGACCTATACTCTGATATAATTAAAATTTCTTAATCAAATTTCATCAACAAACAATTCTTTTTTTTCTTCCTTATTCTTCTATAAACCTATCCAAAGAGAGGTGCATAATTTATTGTATGGCAAAACTAGAGTGCCACCTCTCTGTGGCATATGCCTTGGTTTTTCCAGAGTTCCAAGTGCAGGTTATACTCTTCTGGTTTGAGTACATTTGCAAACAGAGGCAATTGCAAATTTTTGCATAGACAATCCTCCCTCTATGAACACTACCATTAGCACCAAAACCTAAAATGCACCAAGAAAGACCTAAGATATGCATATAATGGCTTTATGAGCTTTTTACCATGTTACTGGGAACCTCGATGAAGAGTACTCCCCTCCTTTTTTTCTGTCTAAAAATAAATTTGTACAATAACATGCAATTCCCAGCAATACCGCAACATATTGGTTTTGGCTACGAGATAACAACGTAACTTTGGCGGGAAGAAGAAAAGGCATGCAGGGAATCAATCCAGATTATCTGTCGCAGAAAGAGTGCAAGAGAATCAAGTTTTGAAAGTTGGTGAAGCTACTTGGTGTGTAGCCACATCTAAAGAATGAATACCCTCAAAGAAAGAAATGATGTAGCATGTATTCTCATTCTTTGTCCAACAGAATATGCCTTTTCACAATAATTTTTGTTGACAGTGCTGTTGCAAAGAAGAATATGCTGTTGGTTTTTCTGCTCTAGATGTCACTAATCTTTTGTTATCACTAATATTCGTTACATGTCATGGTTTTATGTTTCACATACTAATTTGTGATCATTGTGCAGACAAATACTTCTGAATCCAAAAACTTGACCGATTCGGAAACACATGTAATCATCTTGAATCTATAGTGCTTGTTTGTGGTCATAATATACTGAATTTTGGCCCCAGTTTGAATGTCTATTGCTTATGGATTGCAGGTAGAGAGCCCGTCTAACCCAATCAACTCCAGAGTTGAAGTAAGTTCAAAATAAGCTTTTTCATACAAATTGTCTACGCTTTTCCTGTGTGTGTGTGTGTGTGTATATATATTGTCAAATAACACTTTTCGTTTACTTTATCTGAGAAGTTTTCTCACTGATTGCTTCTAGTTTCTGCATAGTGCATGCTGATCCATTAGAAGCATTGCAGTATATCTAGTCATTTCTGCATTGTCGGTTCTTTGGATCGGTATGCAAACGCAATTTCATATTCATCTACTAATAAATGAAAACGGGGATAAGTTTAAAGCAAACAAAGTAAATCCCACGTTGGCCATCAACAGGTAAAGTTGATCAAAAGAAGTATCACATTTTGACAGATTTAACTAACAAATGCAGCAAAAATAGCATCAACAGGAGGAGGATTAACTGATGCATCTCTACTCAACTAGTATAGAATAAATTTTTACACCTTGGCGGGCAGTAAACTTTGAACTATAAAAGGTTATTCTGCTTCGGATTACTGGATATTTTTATCCCTTTTCAGGTAAGAAGACAGTCGTTTAACGAGTACAAGATATTCAGAAGGCGATGGAAGAAAGCTGTTGAGGAGGATCGGTGTTGGACTGATCCATACACAGAGCCAATAAAGGAGATCACCATCTAAATGGAGTCTTCTTTCTTTTCTTTTTTTTTTCTTTGGGAGGGTGTGTTCTTCCAAGGTTGTATTCATTGATGTCATTTCGGCCAGTTGAAACCAAGCTTATCCACAACAGGCCATAGGACTCCCCTCTTTAGTTTTAAGTCTTGCCATTGGATAGTAGACTTCAACATTTGAAGAAACTAGAGACAGGTACAGAGACTAGAGTCAGGAAACATGCAGGTTGGACACCTTCTATCTATACAAGAGAAAAAACAAGAAAAAGATAGCGAGAAAAGCCATAGTATATATTGTATAGTCTATGGTTAAGAGCAAATAATTTTAGATTGAACCATTAAATTTCTTGATTTTCCTTCCCAGTTTTTCCTTTTCGCACACAATCTGTAATATAATTGTAAAGGAACTCTGATATCGTCAAAGTAAAGTTAACATGAATTTATTCACCTACATTAACTTGAAATGTATTACTCTCTCTCTCTCTCTTTGTTCTTATTGCATTGATGCAAATGTAATCTTACTTAATCCAGAACACGCAAAAGCTTTCCGGGCAGAGACTTTTGACCTTTGTGAGTTCACGGTTCATAACTACATCTAATTATTGCAGCAACCAAAGCTACAAGTTGCTCAGAGATTCTTGAATGTACAGTTGGTATCAACTGCTAGACGCTTTTGTTGCCCATTAAGTTGGCATAAAATGATGTTTCATGCCCATCCCGAGGCTGCAGCAAGTACTGGAACCAGGACGACAAGGGAAACTAACTCGGCACTGTTTCTTAAATTCCTCTTGAATTTGCAGCTCGTGACTTTTTAAGCCCACAAGTTATCAGTTTTTGATTTGTGAAAGGCAGGTTTTCCCCTTCCAGCTCTGTTTCTTGTTGATAACAAAAGGAGCATTAATTAAATCCCATCGTTTTCCACCATGATCAGACAGCTTCAACAGCAAAAGGAACATTATTAAATCCAATCATTTTCAACCACAATCTCAGGGCTTCATCCCGAGTTCACTTTTGTAAAGGGAAAAACTTTTGGGTGAACCTAATCTGATCTATAACCTCACTTATGCATCCTGTGTATGTTTAAGTGCCAAAATCATGAATGTGATCACCATGTCTATGTAAACAAATTGCTTTCCTTCGTCACATGTTCTGAATCCATTTGGTATTCCTTTCTTCTTGGGGTTGATCTTGAAATTTCGCAGTCAAAAAAACCGTAGTTTGAGCTTTTGTTGAAGTAAAACTATGATCTCTTTTAAGTTTCATAGCGTGATAGATTGATTACATAAATGCTAATATTAAATAAACTTGCAAAATGTTCTTGAAGAAGAGACCATTGAAATCATCATATAAAAATGACATAGCACAAAATGAATCGAAAAAGTTGACAACCAAAGCCATGTTGTATGTGTAAACACCAGAAAAGATGCACACACAGTTGTGCCACAACTAGGCTATCACAACAGAAGTGTAATGTCTTTCTTTGGATTTCAGACTTTTCCTTTTCAATTGAATCTAGTGGTCAATGTGCAGATTAAAAATATACTAGCTTTGGGCACTAAGGGACGGATTATCCCTTGCAAAGTCACTTAACATCCAGCACTTACATATAGAATTGGATGCAAAAATCTTAGTTGATATGCTGCTTGCTAATAACTGTGAGTCTCACTATGCCTCCCCTCTTCTCTCTGATTGCAGGACCATTTTGGAGAGCTTCCAAACTTGTACCGTTAGACATGTCTTCCGTGAAGCTAACAGATGCGCGGAACTTTTGGCAAAATTGGGCACCGAATATTGCGAAGAATTTGTTTTGTACCCCAGTTCCCCCGTGCCCTTAATTAGTCTTTTGAATGCTGATTGTAGGGGTCTTTTCTTGCCCCGTCTTGTAAACGTTTAAGCTTTATTTATTATATATCCCTTTTCCTACCAAAATATATATCTATACTAGCTCAAAACTTAACATCAAGGGGCAAAAAGTGAAAAAGAAAAGGAGCTCGTAAGGTAGTAAATTGGAGTCCCAAGAGAGAAGTCTACAACTTTATACCATCTGCAGTAATAGCACCATTGATCAGTTGGTCTAGCTTGGAATAGAAAAGGTAGTCTTGCCAATATCTTTTTACCATCAATATAGAAGAGTTTCAACAAGACTTCACAAGTTTCCTTGTCATCTGAAAAGACCGAAGGAATGATGGGACAAAGAAAAGTAGACACAGAGATTATCATGAAAAGAGAGAGAAACTTGGCTTCAATCACGTTTAAGCATGGCCAGCAAGTCTTTTTTACAAGCCAAACTTGAGCTTGATCTCAAACTTATCAATCCTTGTACTATCTATCTTCTAACTGCAGATTTAGTTGTAGAATTCTCAAGAATTCTTGATGCCAAGATACAATGGAAGATCATCCACTCACTCTTAAGAGATAGCTTAGAACAAGAAGTACTCGATCAACATGGGATTTTTTTTTTTAAGTACTATATTCTAAGTAAAAAATGAGCTCAAGCTGAGTCTATGTTATTGGACAATAGAAGGATTGAGAGTACCAAATGTTGTACCCCTTTTCTGATCACAAAGTGTTGAAAGTTGTCAAGCATCATCTTTGGGACTACTAAGTAAACAGGAAGCACATGGGGTGTTGGATATTATATACATCATTCCAGCAGGAGATCACACGCTTAGATTCTCCACGCACTCTGCTCAACACATCAACTTCAGATTTGGTTGTTTAGCCAAAGTATGCGTCCAGTCCAGTTATCTAATCTAACATGTAAAGCATGCACATATTCACTACAGACACAAAATGCATAATGCAAACCATTGACTTCAAGCCTTTCCAAGAAGAAAATTCAATTTCAATGGGCTAAACTGAGAAAGACAGGAGGAAGAATACACAGAGTCATAGTCTTCATCTCACATCATCTCTAACTAAAAGACAATCTAAAGAAACATAAACAAGAAATAGATAATCAAGACACCACCACCCAAATACCAAATCATTCTAGCCTTAAAAGTCAAGAAAATGCACCTAGATGAATAACTAGCAGCATGTTTTGCAAGTAAACATAATGAATCATCTGTCTGTCCATAGTTTTGCTCATGTCCTTTGTTTGGAATTTGTAGGTAGGCAAGCCATTGATGATGTGATTTTCCACTACAAAAAACAAGATTATTATTGCAGTAAATGGTAGCTGCCTTTGATCGACCCGGGCAACTGCCACCAACCTAAGAGTTAGGAATTAGGTTTGTTCACACTTTGCATGCATTTTTAGCAAATCATTTTCTCCTCCATAGTAAAATAAAAAATCCTCAAAGTGCCCCTCTCACCCACTTAAGGTAGCTCTAGCTACAGCAACCTTATTAATAACTAGTCAACAAATTTAACAAATATAGCAGCACATTGTCTTGATCATGAATCTATAGAAGTTCAACAAGATAGTGCCATTTTCCTGATGACATACTTCCACTTTCTTAACAAACATATCACCATTTGCCCTTTTCTGGGCTGCATTGACCAAATAACGGTAGGTAACAAGGGAATATATTAGGAACACAGATGGAACACACAGTCTACGTCGTTGAAATCTATATGTTACTGCCAGTATTAAGCAACTGAAGAAAAATAATTAATGCCCAAAGATTCAAATAACAATAATCATATCTAAATCTGACAAACCATTAGGTGTCATAAGATAGACATATGTTCTAAAAACAATATAAAAATTCTAAAATTGACAGGACCATCATCATTAATATGTACTAACATTTTGGCCCACTAGCTTCACTTGGAGAGGCAAAACTTTCCTCTCCCACACTCAATGTACCATAAGTACCAATCTACAGGACTACAACTGACTACAGTGCTTCTCCCAGCCAAGTGTTTGCTACTAAAATAAAAATTGAAATTAAAATTCTCGTTCTACAGTTCTACTCATGAGCTATGAGTAATTATCCAGCAAAAAGACAAATATGCCATCAAGTAGCAAAAACTTAGCTGGATGTAGCTGTCCCCCAAAATAATTATAAACAATTAATAAGCAGAACAGATATTCTTCCCCTTTCTCACTCCCAATACTATCAACTGGTATCAAAACCCAAAAATAAAAAATTTTTGGAGAAGTTTTGATTTTGCAGCTCAATAATACTCCTCTACTACTAGTCCTAGATATGGCATCCAAAGCAATTACAGGTCTTGGGAAGGAAGGAGCAGAAACCAAAGGGCCTGTTTGGGATGTTGCAGCTGATGGCATAGCAACAAGGAGTTGGCAGGCAGTAGCCTCCTCTAGCCCCACAGCAAGTGCACAATGCACAAATCTGGAAGCTTCCAAGCTTCCTCCTGCTCTCGTTTAGCATGAGCATCATTTCTTTTCCTGGCTCAATCATAGGAACCATCTCCTCCCCGACCACAGTCCCATTTTTCACTGCCTCCGGCAACCCATTTGCCTGCACAGTTGAAAGAACAGAAAGGAAACAAGAAAAAAGAGCAATCAGTCCCATATGAACACACTACCAAGAAATTGATATACGTGTACATCTCTTCCAATTCGGCTCCAAAGTTCCAATCTTTCAATCATGGAAATGAAGGGATATCAATCAAAGTTAAAATGAAACTAAAATTGGAGAAAATCAAGACTTTAACTATCCATTTGCGCAAGAAAAATGATTGGATCTATGAAAGTAAGAAAAGGGCTAATGGGGTTTAAAAAATACAAAAAGGCAAGTCGAGCTGAAGCAACTCACATGTGAATATGTGGGCAGATTGAAGAGGAAAACAATGATAATGAACATGGACAAGAGAACCCTTTTAACAATAGAGGGCATCTTTCAAGAAATGTGTATAATCTTAAAGTCTTCAGAGATGTATGCTATGCTATGTTACAAACAGTATTCGGGAAGCAAAAGGCAGGGCGGAATGATGAGTACAGGTGTATGAATGACACAAGCTACTACTAGTGCTACTGGTGAAATAGCATGTGAAGAACTGAAGAATGGGTGGAGGGGAGTGATACTTGGGGTTGGGGACTGGGGGTTGTATGTTTATGATGCTGGAGTTGTTTGTTGTTGAGGCCTTGATTTGGTATTATTATCTCATAAATAGAAGTGGTTTGAGCGGATAGGGGTGTGGGGTTTAGTGGCTCTGAACTGTCTAGGTGGTGTTAAATTGGGAGGGTTTTGAAGCAGACATGAATGTGAATGTGATTTCATACATATCTTTGGAGGAAATCAAATGAAAGTGAGGGAAACTGGGAAAGGAGAGTGAAGAAAATAAGGGATTGTTGTGGGCAGTGGGAAATACCCTTTGCGGGATTCCAAGGGTAACCAGGCAAAAGGCTCATTTGAGTCTGTGTGAAGGAGTGTGAATCTCATTATTACAAACCAATTATAGGATACAAAGCTGCCATCTTTTTTTTTTTTTAAAGCTACAAAACTGCAAAGATTAGATTTTCATGAGGCCTGTGTGCCACGTAAATAAA